CACGAGTTCAAAATCGAACATGAATCGAGCTTCTTATCGAGTTTAATGTCAAGTTTGTTCACGAACTTCAAATGATGTTGTTCGTGAACATAAATGAGCCGAACACATTAGTGTTCAAGTTTGTTTATTTAAGAATCAAGTATTTAAAATATTGTTCAAGTTTGTTTGTTTAGTTAATTAAACGATCACAAACGAGCTTTAATCGAACCGAACAACGAGTAGCTCGTCGAACGTTTGGTTCGCTTGCAGCCCTAGCCTAAATGTCCAAAAAATAATAATTTTTTAATACAAAAATTTTATGAATTAAAAATTTTTGTACTAGAAAGTTATTTTAAAAAGCATAAAAAAGCTGTCCCAAACGAAGTTTTAATTTAATTGAGCTTTGTTTTATGTCTTGAATATAGAACAACAACAACAACAACAATATCAAGTTTTTTATCACACTACATGGGATCAGTTACATGAATATTTTCTCTATGTTATATTCTATTAAGAGCTATATTGTTATTAAAACTAACAAAAAAAATCTAATTATATTTTCTAAATTTTTTTTGTCTGCACATACCTTTATTAACATAGGCCATTTCTAAATACATTTATTCTCCTAATCGGATCATTAAAGGCTAATATTTTATGTGACCAAATCATCTAAAGCAACAGAAAATATAAAAATCATATTATTTATTGTTTATTTTTTTCAAACCCAACAAAGTTCATGCATTTATAGTAAAAATGATGATAATAATATATATAAAGAGCTGAAAGCCAACTAACTTCAATCCTTCATCACTAAGTTAACTTCATGCGATCCAGTATGCTCTTCCCCTCAAGCTTACTTGCAAAGAACTGCTTCATGTAATCTTGAAAATCCAAGCTCTTGTAGCTTGGCTTTCCTTCCTCAGCAAGCTCTGATATTGGTCCTACAATATCACCAAAATTCAAGGTATGGAATGCAGCAACTGATATTCTTTCCTTCTCATTGCTCACAACAGCTCGGTGCTCGATGCTCTTGTATTTCCCATTGCACAGTATCTATTGTTAAAACAGAAGCAAATATATATTTATATTAAACTTCAAGGGCAAGAATCAAGTACTATCAGGCTTCGTTTGGGACGATTTTCTTACTGTTTTTTAAAGCAGTTTTTTAGTAAACTTTTGTACTAAAAAGTTGGTTTAAGAAATAGTTAAAAAGCCGTCCCAAACAAAATCTTAGTTTAAGCAAAATCTTAGAGTTTTTCTCTGTTTTGTTTTTAAAACCGTTATCATGTTTTTTTTTTTTTTTGCTTTCTTACTATTTTTTTAAAACTTATGCTGCGAGAAACATCTTTTTATTATCAGGTAAACTGTGATAACAATAACTTTATAAATAGTTGTGATTGTCTCCAACAGATCTTTAATTTCTACTTATGATCTATTTGGGTCAACTTTTTCAGAATTTTACTTTTCATATTGATATCAAATTTCTTTTTAGTAATTATTTTTCTCAAACTAGCATTGTATCTATTTGGTAATTATTTTCTCTTCAAACTTTAGTGGCTATAAAAAATACTTCTACCATAACTTCTATAAAGAATTGCAATCTTTTCAATAGAATTCTTAAGCAAGATTACCTCAATGATGTCACCAATATTAATAATAAAAGCTCCAGGAAGAGGTTCAATGGCAAGCCATCCTCCATTTCTTCTAATCTGTAATCCCTTCATTTCATTCACTTGAAGCAGTATTGTCAATCCTACAGCATCAGAGTGTGGAGAAAGCCCTAAGACTTTCTCTGGATTTAAACATGGAGGATAGTAATTCATCCTCATGGATTGCATCCCATCTTTAAAAATATCATAAAGATTTTCTTGTTCCAGTCCAAGATTCTTTGACATAACAGTAAGAAGGTAATTTGCAACTCTCTTCAGCTCTATTGAATAGTTGGAGAGTGTCTCACTGCAAACTATAAAACATCACTCTCATATAAAAAAAATGGAGATAAGTGGAATAATAGTTTAATTATTACCTGAATGAAGGCGGATTAGAAGGCCATAGTTGCATTAACCTTAAGTGTGGAGGTAGAACGGTGAGATAAAGCATATCTCCCCAGTCTAGTTTTTGTTCTTCTGATTGAACAAAGGCATTTCCATAGCCTTCAACTTCTCCTGGTAATTGTGCTACTTTCTCCTTCTCTTCCAATGGAAGCTGAAAGAATTCTTCCAAGTAGTTCTTTAATTTGTTTATGATTTCCTCAGGTACACCATGATTTATAAGCTGTGTATTAATGAGAAAATCAAAATGGTAAAGAAGATGAGAGGACAATGATATTTTTTCATGCTAAGTGTTAAGTTGTGGAGCATTTTTTTTTCCTATGAAGACAACAAACTATAAAATCTTAAGCGTGAGTCGAATTTTATGGTAAGGTGGTCAGGAGGATGTGTACCTCTTGAAAAATATTCAGTATTTACTATTATTTTATTTTGAATATCTATTAGTTTTTTCATTATCATAATTTTTTTTCTTTGTAAGAAGATATGGACACCATCTTATAAGAGGCTAAGAACACTCCTCTTATAAAAAACCAAAATAAGTCCCCCCTCTTTCAACAGTAGGGCTACACACTCATTAATTTTTTCCTAAAAAATCACTCATTAATGTTGTATTTTGGTCCAAATTTAGGATTAGTGGTTCTACAAAGGCACCAAACTAGTGTTCAAACTCCTATATATAGGATATTTAGACTGATGTATTGGAACTACATTGTAATAGCTCCAAGCCTATTTAATAAGGAAATTTGGAATTCCCTGCAGCTGCTCTCTCTCTCTCTCTCTCTCTCCCCCTCTCTTTTGCAAGAAACTCAATCTTCCTCATGCAAGAAACATAACAAGTGGTATAGAGCCTAGTGGAGCTGATCAGGCGAATCAAGGAGGAAGAAGTTTATGGGCTTCGCAAGGAACGTGATCTCATTCACCTGAGGTGGATAAGAGATCCATCAAGACTTGCAACATTAAGATGGAACTGAGGGAGGAGAACATGTGGCCTGGTGTCTCGACCGGGGCAAGCACACGGGCATGCGATCAAGAGGGTTACGTGTTGGCGTGGGACGTAGGAGATGAAACAAATGCAAGACACATTGGCAGGTAGATCACAAGGAGCAGAGCCATGCAGTGAGCTACCTGCATAACTGTGAGGGTACGATGAGGGTACTTGAGCTGGACCACTGGCATGCAAATTGGTAGGCTATACGCAGATCATGAATTGAAAGAGAGCGTGGACATAGGTCGCATGGAGTTAGGGTGTGCACAACTGAAGGCTGAGGGAGAAAAATAGAAACATATATGCAGTCTAGAAGATTGGGCCTCGTGTATTAGGAGATGAACGACAACGCACAGGAGTTGAGTTGTGTAGGCGTTGGGTAGGAGTGGAAAACCACTTTGGCGAAGAGAAATATTTGTTTTTCATCTTCTTGAACAAAAAGACCACCTAGATGGGTCGGGTGTCCTGTGTGCTAAAGATGGGAGGAAACAAAAATTAATAATTTTTGGGGGATCAAACAGGTCACGCTGTTAGAGAGGAAGCCCGATTGTAAGCGGGTGTCGCAGCTCAAAGCCGAAGCTTCCTAGTGTCGTGATCAAGTGGCCCGGCAGGAGAGATATGTAGAGTCGAACATACATTGCGGATGTGGACTGGGCCTGGAGTGGATGTTCGCAAGATCGTGAGTTATTGTGGGAGTAGCCTAGGCCAGCGTGCGAGCAATTGAGGCCGGGCAGGTGGGCTTAAGTCTTTCACACAAGAAGAATTGTGGAGATGCTTGTGATCTGCGATCAAGCCAAGAAGGTTATGGATGGAGGCTTGTTTGTGGATTTGGGAGGCTGCCATGGGCTTGCGGTCGGGCCAAGAAGCACGGATGGGCGGTAAATCGTGCAAGCAAAGAGGTAAGATTGGGCAAGTGGAGTTGATCGTGCTGTCAAAACAGTTGATTCAAGAACCTAGGAGCATATCACACAAGAGTGTGTAAAAAGCGAGTACCGAACTTATGATTGGACGGGGGATCATGTAAAGTTGCAGGTTAGAGTGCGCACACATACCCAGGGAAGATAGGCGAGTCAGAGGATGCTTGGTGTTGGAGCGCAGATATGTTGCACGGGAGTGCGGATTAGGAAAGGAACAATGACAGTTGCATGCAATCATTGGTTAGAATGTGCAGGAGTGCAAGCATGAGCCATGGATTGGAACACACAGTGGAGGCTGCTCGAGAGCAAGGTTGGGCTCAGTTAGGCTGGATTGCTTGTGGAGTTAGTGTAGAGAGCCGGTCGAATTATAGAAAGCTTAAATTCTTATAAACGGATGATTATTTTTTTTATTGTAAAATTTAGACCAAGGTGGAGATTGTTGTATTTTGGTTCAATTTTAGGATTAGTGGTTCCGCAAAGACACCACACAAGTGTCTAAATTTTTATATATATGATGTTTAGGCAGATGTAATGGAGATCCCTTGTAATAGCTCCAAGCCCATTTAAATAAAGGAATTTTGAATTCACATGTTTGCTCTCTCTCTCTCTCTCTCTCTCTCTCTCTCTCTCTCTCTCTCTCTCTCTCTCTTGCAAGAAGCTCAATCTTCCTCATGCAAGAAACATAACACTTCTCCCATGAAAAGTCAAGACCAAATGTACAAGTGATCCCTATGTTGACCTTATTTTTTCCCAGATCCTTGGGTCAAAGGGTTGACCTGGTCGAATTGACCAGGTCAGGCACCAAGACCCTTCCAATCAATTTAGTGGGTTAAACTGAATATGTTGAGTCCAGACCCAGGCCCCTGGGTCAACCTAGTTGACCAAGTCAACTTGGGTTGACCCAAATTCCTTCTATTTGTCTCTAAATCAATTTCATGCATTCCTTGGACTAATTCCCTTTTCCCTTGGGTTCTATGGGCCAGGCCAAGTCCATTGGGCCCTGACCCATGCCCTGGGTCAATCTGGTTGACCAGGTCAGCCTAGGTTGACCCATTAAGCTCTAATGGGTCTATTCAAGTTCTAATCCCGTTCAAACCCATCCTATGTTCGAACATTTCATCTCTTGGAATTAATTGACCAAGTTGACCAAGTCAAATATTGACTTGGTCAACCTAAGCTTTAAATAGGTCAAATTGACCTATTTAGGTCAAATTGACCTATTTAGGTCAAATTAAGACCCATTAATGCATTAATCACCTTCTCTTTGATCATTCAATCAAACCATGACCAAACCACTATTATTTCCCTCCTAATTAGCCCTAGGGTTGATCCAAACCGTCCATCATGGATTCAAGCCTTTAAATAGAGAGGTTAGGGCATCTTTAGGGGGACCTTTGCTTTATTTTCTCTTCCCAAGCGCTCTAAGCCCGAGATCACTCGTGCTTGAGCTCCCATTATCTCTCCCCACCATCCAAATCCAAAGTCACCGTTTAAACCTCGCCGGCGGTGAGATCTCCAGCCAACCTAGGCTATTTCCCTTCCAAGACAATTTCTGTTCAATTGAAGGCGTTTCAAAGCTCGAGATCAACTAAGGAATTGTACGTGGACAGTCTACAAGTGCAACAAGCCCAAGATCTCTCGAATCCACCGTGTGGATTAGTTAAAATCGTAAACCCTGGACTATGACACATAGGGTTAAAAAGCGTTTTAATAAGCGTGTTTTAGACCGCAAAACCCACTCCCCATGAATGCTCTTCACTTCTATGTTTTGTGTTTAAAATTTTAAGTAATTTGGTTGACTAAATCGATCAAATGAAGAGAAAAATAATTTTAGGGTTTCGGGTTTCGCTCTCGTCCGTTAAAGGTTGATCTCAACCATTGATCTCGCGATCAACAGTTGAGATCAGGTCGTTCCGCGGTTTGGAACGACCGCGTGGTTTGATCCCGCGGCTCAGCTTCTCTTCCAACGCGATCACAGTCGTCCGCTCGAAATAGCAGAGAATTGGATAGAGGTGAGGCCGGCTTACGTGGATAAGTCACCAAAGTTCAGTTGAGATCAGGTCGTTCCGCGGTTTGGAACGACCGCGTGGTTTGATCCCGCGGCTCAGCTTCTCTTCCAACGCGATCACAGTCGTCCGCTCGAAATAGCAGAGAATTGGATAGAGGTGAGGCCGGCTTACGTGGATAAGTCACCAAAGTTTCTATCCGCGCCACCATTGCAATCATTTGACATGATTGTGCGGCTACGCAATTATTACAAATGATTGCCCGTGGTCTGCTGAACCAGTCTAAACCCGACACGTGTCTGACCGCCGTCGACGCCAATTTTGTTTTAATTAAATTTACTTGTTTTGTAAATCCTTTTTGAACCTAATTTCTATTTAAAATCATTTATTAATCTAAAATATATGTATTATATATCATTGTTTTGAAAATCGGATCGGACCGGCCAGTTCGACCGGTTCAACCGTGAACCGGTCTAACAGCCGGTTCGA